TAGAAATAATCGATTTACCAGAAAACTATTATTCAGTTCCAATTGATCTGAATTCCTACTGGCATTAATAGGAATATTAGAAATGATCTCCATAAGTTGCTCCCCAAAAAACTCTTCCAGTCTTTCCAAGTTCCAGCTGCCATTTGAAATGAAAAAACTTAACTTTCCTGTATATGTATTCAGAGTATTGACAAATGTAGGCCACTTAGCGATACATTTATCCAAAATCCAAGAATCATTCAACCAATTGATAGAATCCCCATTTGAAATGCTCCATCTAACAACATTCTTGAGAAAATTTTCTCCCATAGTAATCATCTTCCAAGTAGAAGAACTACCTCCCCTAATAGCCTCCATCCATGCATCATTCCAATATCTTGCTTTAAGAATCTGATTCATAAAAGTATGAGGCTTTCGATAGGAGTTCCAAGCGAATTTTGGACGAAGAGGGCCAACCATAGAGACGGCTGACTTCAAACCTCTACCACCCTCCCTCTTTGGTTTGCAATACAAGGCCCAAGAAGCATAATGTATTCCCGCACTACAATTATTTTAACTCCAGATAAATCCTCTACACATCTTGTCAAACTCCTTCAAAATGCTCAAAGGAACTAAAGAAATAGAAGAAAAAAATTGAGGTAATGAAAGAAAAGCTGATTTCACCAAAACCAACTTCCCCTCTAATGAAATGAATTTCATTCCCCAAGTATTGAGTCTGTTAGAAGCAGCCTCCAAAAGGATCTAGAAATCAGAAGCAACCAGCCCCCTAAGTGCCATTTTCACACCCAGATAATTAATTTCCTTCACAAGTTTGAAGTTGAGTATCTTAGTAATTTTCTTTTGGATACTCCTTTTAGTGTACTTTCCAAAAATGATCATAGATTTCAAGTTGTTCACCCTTTGTCCCGTCCAATTACAATAATTGGAAATAATACTCCTTGACTTCTTCCATCTTAGCCTCTGAAAATATAAATATACCATCAGCAAAAAGAAGATGAGACACCCTTGGAGCAAGTAGAGATATAGAAATACCCAAACCATTTCCTCTAGAGACTAAAGCATTAGATAGAATTTGAGAGCAAAGAATGAAAAGAAAAGGGGATAAAGGACACCCTTGCCTAAATCCACATCTCCCATCAATCCAATCAGTTTTCTTTCCATTAATTAAAACACAAAACTTAGGATTGAGAGCACATTGAAGTAAAAGCTCCATAAATTTAGTAAGAAAATTAAACTGAATAAGAACTTGCCTTAGTGTTTGCCATCACATACTATCATAAGCTTGTTCCATATCAAGCTTAATAGCCAACATACCTCTTCGAGCTTTAGACCACCTGAACTTGTTGAACTCCTCTTGAGCCAAAAGCACATGATCAGAAAGAGAACGACCTTTAATGAAAGCTTCTTGATCCACCGAGATGATTTTCTGAATAACCTTCTCCAATCTATTTAAGAGCATCTTGGCAAAGAGTTTGTAAACCGTCATGCACAGACTAATCAGTTTGTAATTAACTGGTTCTTACAGGTTTTTAATTTTTGGAGTCAACACAATCAATGTTTCCTTCCAAGATTGATTCATAACACCAGACAATAAAAATTGACTGATAGCAATCCAAACATCATCTTTAATCAAATGCCAAAAATCTTTGATAAAGCTAAAGGAAATCCCATCATTACCAGGAGAGACATTTCTCTTAGATTCATCTACAACTACCTGTAATTCCTTCCGAAAGAATTCAGCTTCAAGCATTTTTTGGTCCATCAAACTAATGGTATTCACTGTCTCCGGCCATCCCTCTAGAGAGCATCTTCTATACTGCCATTTCAGTCTGAAAAAATCATAAAAAGTTTTCTGGATCACAACTTCCTCCTCAGAAATAGTCCCATCCGAAGTTTTGATATGAGTTATCCAGTTCGAACTCCTTCTAGCATTCGCAAAAGCGTGGAAAAAAGATGAATTACAGTCCCCTTCATCCATCCATTTAGCTTTGGCCCTTTGCCTCCACCAAGTATTGAGCCTAGCCAAAGTAACATTAAGCTCATTAATTTTAAATCTCAAAACCTGTAACTTGTCAACCGAGAGATCCCCTTCAGACTCCTCCAACTGAATCTCTAAAATCTCACTTTTAATTTTGTCCCTCAGCACATTCAAATCTAAAATCTCAAGGAACTATTCAAAAAATAATCAACAAGTGAAAAGTATATCCTTGAAATTAGGCACAAATACAATGGAAATGGAGAGAATGTGAACTCACCAACTCTTCGGCTCGTCGACAACCGATGCACTTATGTTTCAAAACATCCTTTGGAATGTATATCCTGGATGGAGAAAAGCGAGGGCCCTTGCCGGCAACAGCAAAAACTTCGTTCGACTTCTTCTTCTTATGCGTATGTGAATCTCCCTCGCCCTCAGGTCTCTTGGATTGAGTTTCATTTGTTCGGTCATGTGATTAATTTTTTCACTGCAAAGTAGGGTCGAATTTCCATTAGATCCAAGTGGTTGGATATTCGTACTAGGGATCCATCCAAAAATTGAATTAGCGATTATTTCTTTGTGCAGAATGATTGGGGCCTCCAAGAAAGATGGGGAAAGTTGAGGGAGCTACCTATTCCCCTTCATATAGGAGCGAAAGACTTATTGAGTATTTTGAAGCTTCCTGATACCGAAGCTCTTCGTTACGAGATGCACTCTCTTAGCAGATGCTTAGATGAGGAATATTTATTCAAGGTGGGGCTATCCACTCATGCAGGGAGGTCGCATACACAGAAATTGAAGATATTTGCAAAAATCCCAGAGGCCCAAAAAACTCAATCCACAAGCCGTCAGGATATCAACCAATTCAGGCGGCGGCGGAAATCGCAACCCCGCTCGCGAACTAAACTCATACACTGTCAAGTATCCCTGGGGAGGGAAGTAGGCACGCTCATATCTCGCCGGCACCTTCATCACCAAGCAATTAGGAAAATGAAACTTTTTCCTAAAAGAGATGAAAGAGTCTTCGGTAATGGTGGAGATAATGTCGTCGGCTTTTGTCGCCTTAGGAGCCTTCTTCGAACCCTCTGAATGTGCAGTAGGACGATCTTCCACAACGGAAACATCTTTGGTAGAAGTGCGATCACCCATTTTGATTGCCGCACGAGAGGAGGGGC